GAATTGTGATGTCAGGAAGGCTTTCTAAAGCTTGAGGTTCTGTGAGAGGACCACAGAGGATGGGGTAGAGTGTGTTGGAAAGTAGAGGAGGGAGATTAACAGCATGATGAGGTCTCTGACATCTTCTCACAAGATTTATAGTTTGGATAAGGATTTGAAGATTATTTGTGATCTAAAAATAGATCTTCAAACTGCAGTGTTCTTGGGTTCACATCCTGATAACATTTATATCATTCCCTGCTGATTACATCTGAGATATTCTCTCTCCTGAGTCTGTATTTCTGAAATGTAGCTTACTTGCCCAATCACCCAACCTCACACAGAGAATCTACTGAGAAAAGAGCAGAAGCTTCACTTAGGGTATGAACTTTGCCATCACCACCCCCCATCTCCTCCCTACTGTCCTAACTGGTCATCCCACTTCCAACTCATGTGGGTGCTTTGAGAACATTCAAACTGAACACCTCCAGTACCAAACTCTCCATACCATTCCCCTCCAAACCCCCTTCTCTTCTAGGTGTTCTCATCTTATGAAACGGTGCCTCCATCCACCGTCTAGCTCAACCAGGGAGGCATCCTAGACATTTCATTCGACTTCCTACTAGATCCCAGCCTTTGGCAAGCCCGCTGATCCTTCCCTTAAGATGTATCTTGAATCCATACCTCTGTTCTGCATCTTTGCTGAATCCCAGCTGCCATCTTTGGTCTCTAGCACTAGATCAACCCATTCTGTACTTGGCAATCAGAAAACTGTGCTATTATGCCTCTCCCCTCATCAGTTCTTCCATGGTTCTCTATGGTATTTAGGATGACAGACAGGCTTCTTGCCTTGGCCTTCCAAGTCCTGCACAGTTTGGCTCCTCCCCACCTTCGGACCTTATCTCATCTCCCTCCACATCATTCCCTGTGCTCTGGCCACACCAGCCTTCACTGGGATCCTTATAAGCACCAATTCTTTTTACCAGCTGAGGGCTTTGCACATGCCGGGCTTTCTGCCTATACTGCCCCTTCCCCGGCCTCTGAGCTGCCCTTGACCCCCTTTCTCTTGCCTGGCTCCATCTCCCCGCAAAGCTCTCAGGAGTCCTCAGTCAGACTATCAGCCCCTCCCTATGCTAGGTCCCCCTTCTCTCTTCCTTCATGGTACAATCATTGGTTGCAGTTGTGTACTTACTCGTGCACTCTTTACTTACTGTGTGTACCCAGTGAAGGCGAGTACCCTGTCAGTCTTTGCCATTGCTTTAGGGTTGGTGCCCAGTAGCTCACAGACTTTCAGTGGATACCGATCTATGAACTGTGGTTGAATGGGTGGTGCATGGATGGACACTATTCTGAGCTGCTGAGACTTAGGGGAATCCAATTTAAGACCCTAGGGAAGGCCACTACACCTGCCCGGTTCCATCCCCTGCAGGAATGTGAGTTCATACCCACAGGCTCAGTTTGAGTAAACTGAATGAGTTTCACATTTTCAAAAATACCTGCTATTTCCTGGAAACAGATTGTGTCTCTCCGATTGTCTATTAAGTTTTTTTTTTTTTTTAACTGCTGAAGATCTTGGAACCAAACCAAAGTAATCTGAATTTCCATTTTTATATCTTAATTTATAAGCTGCGCCTCATAATTTACAAGCACTCTCTTACTTAGTGTCTCTTACAGAGCCGAAACAAATACCAGCTCTGCCAGCTCTGCCACTCCAGCCTTCTCACTGCACTGTGCTCAGGCTCGGGCTGGAACTGGCTCGAGCTTGGTAAGGACAGGAGAGAAGGTCTCTGTAACCCCATGTTATAGGGCAGAAAAAAAGCAGCTAGAGATGGAGTGACATAAGCAAGGTTTATGGTAGCATAGGCTCCAGAATTCCCCATGCCAAGGCTCTTTCTAGGACACCAGGCCAGGTGCTAGTGACATTCTGACCTGGATCATTCCTTGTTGTGTGCTGCAGGATATTTAGCAGCATCCTTGACCTCTATCCATTAGCTGTCAGCAGAACTCTCCCCACTGTGACAACCACAAATATCTTTGGACATGGCCAAGTGCTCCCTGCATCACCCCTATGGATAACCAGTGTCCATAAGTGTCCAGCAGTATCCAGACTGCACTTCCACTTTGATGCAAATGGAGGAACCTGGGTCTGGAAAAGTCCCCTTCACAGGTAAGGAGATGGAGGCTCAGAGAGGTCAGACTTGCTCATGATTACACAGCAGTAAGTGGCAGGCTGGGATGCAAACTCAGACCTGCCTGTTCTGGGGTCCAGGGGTACCTTGCTCTCCTGGCCCTCTTACCTCATTCCAGTGATTCCTCGACCTGGGCAAGCAGGAGTGCTTCATTTGAGCAGCTCACTTCAGCCTCTGTGTAAAGAATAGCCCTGCCCTCTTCAGACAGACTTATCCCTGACCTTGGGTCCCTGTGTCAGTTACCCTCCCCAGGCTCAGCAGCCAGTTCTGGAGGGTCCTGTGTGACCTAGGGTGAGAAGAAAACATCTCTGAACTCCCTGTTCCCATCCATACAATGGGAAAACCCACTCCATGCGGGATAAATGATGATGCATGCAGACTGGTTTCCATCCATGCCAGCCAGACCTCCACTGACTGCCTAGCTCCCTCCGCGAAGTTGCCCCTACAGGCGTGCTTCTAATTCCAGAGCCTCTTTTGATCAGCTTCACCTCCACTGAGCTAGGAAGTCACTCCACCGTATCTGCCCAGGTAGACTGGTGGCTCCTTGAGGGTCAGGCCTGTTGCTCTCTCCCCTCCCACAGTGGCCAGCATGGTCTTTTCCTTGGGGTTGGTGCTAAAAATATTGCTGCAGAACCCACGATATTGACGAGCCCTCAATCAGGGCCTGGGATCTCTGGTTCTATCTGAGCATCAAGATGGTTCTCCTAGGTGTGGAGCCTGCTGGTGGAGCCCATGGCTCCACGCTCCGGGCAGCTGGAACTGTTGGCTGTTACTACACTTTATCTTTAGCCTGGATTTCCCCAGCTGCACATTTCCTTGTGGTAAAATTCAGGCTCACTACGACAAACTCAAGTAGAAAAGGGGCTCGGTAAGGGGTGGTTATCAGGCTCAGGTCCTCACCCTGCCCAGCCTTTTATTTCCTTCGAGTCCTAGTGCCAGTTACCGAGGCTTCCCGGGCTCCATTTCCTCACCAGTAAATTAAGGACAGGATCGAGGAGAAGATGAATTGTACATTGGCCACACGTGAGCCGTCCTCGATCCCCAGTAGCAATTTGTATCTCTCTCGTTTAATTGGGGTGAGTGGGGTGGACCGGAAGCCACCAGGCTGAGTTAGGGAAAACTTTCAGGCTTTTTGGCAAGCAGCGCTCAGGGCCAGAAAGGCAGGGTTTCTACCTACTTCAGCCCTGAAGAGGGGCTGATTTCGGGAAACCGGCGGGCGCATAGGGTCTCGGGCAAAGCCAGACCCGCTGAGCCCGTGGCCGCATTCACTTGCTTTCTTCCCTTCACAGTTAAAAAGGCTGCTCAGAAGTGTGGACTCCGGGCACAGTGCCCTCCCTAAGGATCGAGCGGTTCTCCCGCCCTTACTTTTCTGCGGGCTCACATCGCCCCCGCTCTTGGAGCCCCGCGTCTTACCCACTTCTCCGCAGCCCGCGCAGGGACTGCGGGCATCCGATCC